CTTCTGGCCTCAGGGTAGCCCCTGCCTCCTCTCTCAGTCAGGATCAGGAGGAATCACTGCCTCTCCTCTCTCCTCACCCCCTTCCAGCACCAGCAGCAGGTCTTGGGAGCCATCGAGAGGGCCAAGCAGGTCACTGCTCCTGAGCTGAACTCTATCATCCGAGTACGTATGGGCACCTGGGCGGGAGGGTGTGGGACAGGTGGGCCCCAGGTAGCTAACGTTCCCCTTCCCCGCTCTGCAGCAGCAGCTCCAAGCCCACCAGCTGTCCCAGCTGCAGGCCCTGGCCCTGCCCTTGACCCCACTGCCCGTGGGGCTGCAGCCGCCTTCGCTGCCGGCGGTCAGCGCAGGCACCGGCCTGCTCTCGCTGTCCGCGCTGGGTTCCCAGGCCCACCTCTCCAAGGAAGACAAGAACGGGCACGACGGTGACACCCACCAGGAGGATGACGGCGAGAAGTCGGATTAGCAGGGGGCCGGGACGGGGAGGGTGGGAGGGGGGACAGAGGGGAGACAGAGGCACGGAGAGAAAGGAATGTTTAGCACAAGACACAGCGGAGCTCGGGATTGGCTAAACTCCCATAGTATTTATGGCGGCTGCCCGCGGAGGCCCCAGTCCGACTTGCAGGCCACCTCTAGCTTTCTTCCTACCCCAGTCCCGGCCTCCCTCCTCCTCCCCTGCAGCCTGGATAGGTGGATACCTGCCCTGACACGTGAGGCAAGCTAAGGCCTGGAGGGTCAGATGGGAGACCAGGTCCCAAGGGAGCAAGACCTCGAGAAGCCCAGAACCCCCGGCCCTTCCCCCGTTTTGAACACGTGTAACTGACAGTCTGCCCGGGCCCCTCGGGGCACACGCCACTGCTCTCTCACCCTGGTACTGCATGCACGCAATGCTAGCTGCCCCTTCCCATCCTGGGCACCCCGAGTCTCCCCCGACCCCGGGTCCCAGGTATGCTCCCACCTTCACCTCCTGCCCCACTCACCACCTCTGCTAGTTCCAGACGCCTCCACGCCCACCTAGTCCTCTCCCATTGCCCACAAAAGAGGGGGCACGAGGGACGAGCTTAGCTGTGCTGGGAGGAGCAGGGTGAGGGTGGGCGACCCAGGATTCCCCCTCCCCTTCCCAAATAAAGATGAGGGTACTAAAGTTGTCTTGGTTTTTATTTTATTATTATTTTTTTCTTTTTCCAGTATACTAGCTTGTCTTTTAAGAAAGGGGATATTAAAAAAAAAAAGACAAAAATGTTTTTAAAAAAAAAAAGCAACACCCACACCTGTGTCTGTATATAGTCAGTTTATCTTGTGTTCAGTCGTTTGATCTCTACAGAGAGAAGTGGAAAATGCTGTATCAAGGGTGGGCTTAGCTGTGCCTTTCAAATAAAGATGTGAGAAGGTTCAGTGCTGTGTCCCTGCCTCTGTGTCGTGGCTGCCCCTGGGGGAGGATGCGGTTCCTTCCAATGTGAGACACCCTCCTAGAACATCAAGAGTTCCTGGCAGGTGCGGTGGCTCACGCCTGTCATTCCAACACTTTGGGAGACCGAGGCAGGCGGATCACTTGAGGCCAGGAGTTCGAGACCAGCCTGGCCAACATGGTGAAACCCCATCTCTACTAAAAATACAAAAAGTCAGGTGTGATGGCAGCCCTGTAGTCTCAGCTACTCAGGAGGCTCAGGCAGGAGAATCGCTTGAACCCACTGAGGTGGAGGTTGTAGGGAGCTGAGATTGTGCCACTGCGCTCCAACCTGGGTGACAGTGAGACTCTGTCTCAAAAAAAAAAAAAAAAAAACCTGAACAAGAGTGTTCAGAGCCGCTGTAATTTGTCATAATTGCCCCCAATCAAATAGATAGGTTGTGACATGGTCACACAGTGGAATACTACACAGCCGTGAAAAAAGACAGGCTGCTCCCGGTGGCTCACACCTGTAATCCCAGCACTTTGGGGGGCCAAGGTGAGAGAATCACTTGAGGCTGGGAGTTCAAGACCAGTCTGAGCAACACAGTGAGACCCTATCTCTGCAAAAATATAAGAATTAGCCGGGCATAGTGGTGTGCACCTGTGGTCCCAGCTACTTGGGAGGCTGAGTGGGGAGGATTGCTTGAGCCCTGGAGGTCAAGGCTGTAGTGAACTATGATCATGCCACTGCACTCCAGTGCGGCTGACAGAGTGAGATTCTGTCTCAAAAAAAAAAAAAAAAAAAGATTATCTTTGGCTCTCACTGCCCTTGGAACAAATCCTAAATTCTTCACCTCGGCCCAGGAGACCCTACCCATCTTTCATTCCTACTCAACAGGCTGCAGCCAAGGTGGAACATCTTGCTATCCCTTGCCTTGAGGCCTTTTCATGTGCTGTTCCCTCTGCCTGGAACAGGGTTCTCTTATTTCCCCTCCCCAGGCATTCTAATTCTCCGAGACTGCCTAGAAGTCACTTTTCTGAAGGCCTCCTCTGACTGTCACCCACCAAAAGCAGGGTGGGTTCCTCAACATCCCTGCCCCAGTTCCCATACAAAGACCCTGAGTCCAGCCAGGCACCCTGGCACACACCTGTAATCCCAACGCTTTGGGAGGCTGACATTGGAGAAGCGCTTGAACCCAGGAGTTCAAGACCAGCCTGGGCAACATAGGAAGACTTCATCTCTACAAAAAATAAAAATAAGGCCAGGTGCGGTGGCTCATGCCTGTAATCCGAGCACTTTGGGAGGCCAAAGTGGGAGGATCACTTAAGACGAGGAGTTCGAGACCAGCCTGGACAACATGGTGAAACCCCATCTCTACTAAAAATACAAACAATAGCCAGGTGTGGTGGTGTGCGCCTGTAGTCCCAGCTACTCCGAAGGCTGAGGCGGAAGGATTGCTTGAGCTCAGGAGTTTGAGGCTGCAAGGAGCCATGATCGCGCCACTGACCTCTAGCCTGGCTAGTGAGCGAGACTCTGTCCTTATTAAAAAAGAAAAACAGGCTGGGTGCGGTGGCTCACGCCTGTAATCCCAGCACTTTGGGAGGCCGAGGTGGGCAGATCACCTGAGGTTGGGAGTTCAAGACCAGCCTGACCAACATGGGGAAACCCTGTCTCTACTAAAAATACAAAATTAGCTGGACGTGGTGGTGTGTGCCTGTAATCCCAGCTACTTGGGAGGCTGAGGCAGGAGAATCCCTTGAACCCGGGAGGTGGGGGTTGAAGTGAGCCAAGATCGTGCCCTTGAACTCCAGCCTGGGCAACAAGAGCAAAACTTTGTCTCAAACAAACAAAAAAAAACTGTGAGTGTGAAAGGCATCAGCAGCTGTCACAGATGTGGCACAGATGTCCTAGGATGGTCCTCCGCATGGAGTGTCCAGCCTGGGTTTAAATCCTGGCTCTTCCTCTCACAGCTGGGTGATTCAGGCAAGTGTCTTCACCACGCTGGGGCGTAGTTTCCCTATCTGTAAAATGTGTATAATCACAGAACCGATCCTTGTTAGGAGGACTCCATTTTAATCCCTGGAAAGTGCTCACAGCAGAGGCTGGTGCATTCATTCATTATTATTATTATTATTATTATTATTTTGAGACAGGCTGTCGCTCTGTTGCCCAGGCTGGAGTGCAGCGGCGTGATCTCAGCTCACCTCAACCCCCACCTCTTGGGTTCAAGGGGTTCTCCTGCCTCAGCCACCCAAGTAGCTGGGACTACAGATGGGTGCCACCATGCCCAGTTAATTGTTGCTGTTGTTTTTTGAGACAAAGTCTCGCTCTGTCACCCAGGCTGGAGTGCACTGGCATGATCTCTGCCCACTGCAACCTCCGTCTCCTGGGTTCAAGCGATTCTCCTGCCTCAGCCTCTCAAGTAGCTGGGATTACAGGCACTCGCCACCACACTCTGCTAATTTTTTGTATTTTTAGTTGAGACAGGGTTTCACTATGTTGGCCAGGCTGATCTCGAACTCCTGACCTCAGGTGATCTGCCCGCCTCGGCCTCTCAAAGTGCTGAGATTACAGGCGAGAGACACCGCAGCCCGGCCCATTCATTCATTTATAGAGACTCTACCCTGCGCCCCAGAGACACATCAGGGAACAAGACAGAAAGCCCCGCCCTCCTGGCTGGGTTGAACAGATAAACAAGTAAAATATACGGCGTGTCAGCGGGTGTGTCGATAGAGAAAGACTAGGCGGGGGCGAACGGGGAACGGGGAGTGTGGGTTGCATTTTTCTGTGTAAAATCTACACACAGAAAGAACTGCAGGAATGCCAGTACATTTATTGGGGGGTTTCCCATCTCCGACCCTCAGGGGTGATTTGGGGCAAGTGAAATCACGCTCTGATCTCAATTTCTGGAAAATTGTTCTGAGAATTAGAACTTCTGCAAGGGCTCGAGTGTCAGCTAGTAATAATAATAACAACAGTAATAAGTATTACTGATATGGATGTTGCTGGCAGCAGAAGGGTGCCTCGGGGGGGGCTCACAAGCCCGACACCCCACAAGGGGTCTTCTCGGAAGAAGGGGTCCTGCCTACTCAGCCACAGCCTGGCCTGCGATCTGGGGGTCTCCCAGGGCCCCGCAGGGTTTGGGGAGGGTCCCGGGACCCGCTGCGGGGCGGGTGGTAGGGGGCGTCCTGGGGGGCGTGCTCGGGGCCGGGAAGCCGGGGCGGGCGGAGGCGGGGGCTCCGAGCCCCCTCCCGCCGCGGCCGCCCCGCGCTTAACGACTGCGCCGCGGGCGACCTCGGCTAATTGATCCGCTAATGGGCCCCGCGCCGCGGCCGCGCCTAATGAGGCGGAGGACGGGGGAGGGCAGGGGGAGGGGAGGGGAGAGAACAGCGGGGAGGCGGGGGTAGGGAGAGGAGGGGGAGAGGGAAAGGAGGAGGGAAGGAGAGAGAGGAGGGAAGGGGAGGGAGGGGATGGAGAGGGAGGGGCGTGGGGGAGAAAACTGAGGGGAGGGAGGAAGGAGGGAAAGCAGGAAGGGAGGGGAAGAAGAATAGGAGGGTGGGGGAGAAGGAGGGAGAGAAGGGAGGAGGAGGGGGAGCAGGAGGGAGGGAAGGGAAGAGGAGGGGGAGGAGGAGGAAGCACAGCATGCTCCCAGCTCCTTGCATAGGACCCGAGGGGAGCAGAGAGGATTGGGGTGAGCCCATACTCCTTTCTGGTTACCTCTCCCCCTCTAACACGCTGTTTCCTCTGGAAGCCCCTTCTCCAAGGCTCTCCCCTTCTCCGACCCCACTCTTCTCCCAGCCCCCCTACCCCATTCTGAGGGACTTTCCAGCAGGTGAGGAGGTCCCCTGCCTGCTGGGCCTCAGTTGCCCCCATCCACACAATGGTTCTCAGTGGAGGGAGGAGAATCCCGCAGGCCCAGGTGGCAGGACTCTAGGTGTGGGGCGGGGGAGGGCCTGTCCCGTCCCTCCACAGGGACGGGGACTGGGGACTCCGGGGTCTAAAATCCTCCAGTCCCCCCACCTCTACACCCCAAAGGGCCAGGCTCTGGCAGAGGGTGGGAGGAGTTACGGAACCCCCCTTCCCCATCCCCAGCCGGGGAGGAAAAGGAGCGGGAAGAGGGGCTGAAGCTAGGAGGCATTGGACATTCACAGTCAGGCCAGCCAGGTGCCAGTGCTGGCTGAATTCTCTGCAGCTGAGCCTTCTCCGTCCCTGTGTGTGCCCTTCAGGCAGTCTTGGGGGAGAAGATAAAAGCTGCACCTGCAGTGCTGGTGGAATTAGGGACCTAGAAATGATCCTTCTCTCTCCCCATTGTGCAGATGGGAAAACTGAGGCCCACGGAAGGTCAGAACATTTGCTCAAGGGCAGGAATAAGTTAGGGCTGTAGCTGAGTCTCCTGCTGTCTGCTCAGGGACGTCTTTGCCCCCCCCTCCCCCCCACCTAGGAGCAACCAGACTAATTAGGAAGGCAAAGAAATCGTAAAGATAACAGTAATACCAGCTGTCATGTCCTGAACATCCGTCCTGCCTCCAGCAATGCTGGAGTGATGCAGTGACACTTGGATCTCTCAAAGGATTCTTGCAAACGTCTCGGAAGGGCTGTTTTTACAGGTAAGGAAACTGAGGCTCTAAGTGGTCACAGAGTTGGGGAATCTGGATTCAAATGCAGGAAATTCAGGATCTTAATCATCTGGTTGGTTGGTTGTTTTCTGAGACGGAGTTTTGCTCTTGTTGCCCAGGCTGGAGTGCAATGGTGCAATCGTGGCTGACTGCAACCTCTGCCTCCTCCTGGGTTCAAGCTATTCTCCTGCCTCAGCCTCCCGAGTAGCTGGGATTACAGGCATGTGCCACGGCGCCTGGTTAATTTTGTATTTTTTGTATTTTTTTTTTTTTTTTTTTTGAGACGGAGTCTTGCTCTGTCGCCCAGGCTGGAGTGCAGTGGTCGGATCTCAGCTCACTGCAAGCTCCGCCTCCCAGGTTCACGCCATTCTCCTGCCTCAGCCTCCCAAGTAGCTGGGACTACAGGCGCCGCCACCACGCCCGGCTAATTTTTTGTATTTTTAGTAGAGAAGGGGTTTCACCGTGTTAGCCAGGATGGTCTCGATCTCCTGACCTCGTGATCCGCCCGTCTCAGCCTCCCAAAGTGCTGGGATTACAGGCTTGAGCCTCCGTGCCCGGCCAATTTTGTATTTTTAGCAGACATGGGGTTTCACCATGTTGGCCAGGCTGGTCTTGAACTCCTGACCTCAAGTGATCCGTCCGCCTCGGCCTCCCAAAGTGCTGGGATTATAGGTGTGAGCCACTGCGCCCAGCCAGGATCTTAACCATTTGGTTTAATAGAAAGAAGTTTCTGGACCCACTGACTGGTGGGGGAGGAGGGAGGACTTGAGAGACAGGAATGGCTGATTCCAGGCAGAGTTGGGCTGCAGCAGGATTGGCGGAGGCAGGGCTGACCTTGGAGGCTCACGGCCCCCACCCCGTGTTCACTGCCTCAGTCTGACCCTTCCTGGCACCTTCTCTGTAACTGACAGTGTTCAGACATGGTCCCAGGTGGGGCCTTTCCCTCTGCCTGAAACACTCTGTTCCTAGTTCAGTCATCCCCATCACAATCACTTTTTCCTTCGATCTTTGTTTTTATTTTTATTTTGAGACAGAGTCTCACCTGGTTGCCCAGGCTGAAGTGCAGTGGTGCAATCATAGCTCTGCAGCCTCAACCTCCCGGGCTCAGGTGATCCTCCCATGTTGGCCTCCTAAGTAGCCAAGACTATAGGTACACACCACTACAGCCAGCTAATTTTTTTTTTTTTTTTTTTTTTTTTTAGGAACAAGGTTTTCCCATGTTCGCCAGGGTGGTCTCAAACTCCTCTCCAGTGGTGCACCCCCCTCGGCCTCCCCAAGTGCTAAGATGACAGGCGTGAGCCACCGTGCCCGGCTTTCCCTGCCTTCTTTATCTTCACAGCATTTCTCACTCCGCACAATTTGTTCCAACAAATATTCCCTTGTCTGCTGCTTTTCTCGACTCTAATATGGGTTTGATGAAGAGAGTTTGTCTGTTTGGGTTGCTACTATGGATCCTGGGGCCTAGAATCATGGCTGGCACACAGTAGGTGTGCAGTGATTAGGGAAGAAAATGAAAAAATGGCAGCGAAGGCTGGGCGTGGTGGCTCACACCTGTAATCCCAGCAATTCGGGAGGCCGAGGCAGGAGGGCCAAGTCGGGCCAGGAGTTTGAGACCAGCCTGGGCAACATGGTGAAACCCCATCTCTACTAAATTAAAGACAAAAATTAGCTGGGCGTGGTGGCGCACACTTGTAATCCCAGCTACTTAGGAAGCTGAGGAAGGAGAATCGCTTGAACCCCGGAGGCGGAAGCTGCAGTGAGCAGAAATCATGCCACCGCACTCCAGCTGGGTGACAGAGTCAGCCTCCTTCTCAAAAAAGAAAAGGGCAGAGAAGCCTGTGAGATGGGTGGATGTGGGCCAGCCCTGTAGGATCCTGCCCGCCCTACAGGCCAGGAGCTGGGGCATAGGGAGCCATGGGTGGTGTCTGAGCAGAAAAGGGGCGGCACACGCAGATGTGTGATTAGTGAGATCCTCCACGGGACACCAGGGGGGCAGGCTGGAGGGGAAACTGAGGCAGGAAGTCACGAGGAGGCCCCTGTGCCACTTAGGTGTTTTCTTTCTTTCTTTTCCTTCCTTCCTTCCTTCCTTCCTTCCTTCCTTCCTTCCTTCCTTCCTTCCTTCCTTCCTTCCTTCCTTCCTTCCTTCCTTCCTTCCTTCCTTCCTTTGTTTTTTGTTTGTTTGTTTGTTTCTGGTGAGATGGAGTTTCTGTGGCCCAGGCTGGAGTGCAGTGGCATGATCTCGGCTCACTGCAACCTGGGTTCAAGCCATTCTCTTGCCCCAGCCTCCCAAGTAGCTGAGATTACAGGGATGCACCCCCACGCCTGGGCTACTTTTTATATTTTTGTTGTTATTGTTGTTGTTTTGTTTTTGTTTTTGAGACGCAGTCTTGCTCTGTCACCCAGGCTGGAGTGCAGTGGCGTGATCTCACCTCACTGCAACCTCTGCCACCTGGGTTCAAGCAATTCTCCTGCTTCAGCCTCCTGAGTAACTGGGATTACAGGCCCCCGCTGCCATGCCTGGCGAATTTTTTGTATTTTTAGTAGAGACAGGGTTTCACCATGTTGGCCAGGCTGGTCTCAAACTCCTAACCTCAAATGATCCGCTTGTCTTGGCCTCCCAAACTGCTGGGATTACAGGTGCAAGCCACAACCCAGGTCCCACTTAGATGTTTTGACTGATATTAAAAACTGCAGGCTGGGCGCGGTGGCTCAAGCCTGTAATCCCTGCACTTTGGGAGGCCGAGACGGGCAGATCACGAGGTCAGGAGATCGAAACCATCCTGGCTAACACGGTGAAACCCCCGTCTCTACTAAAAAATACAAAAAACTAGCCGGGCAAGGTGGCGGGCACCTGTAGTCCCAGCTACTCAGGAGGCTAAGGCAGGAGAATGGCGTAAACCTGGGAGGCGGAGCTTGCAGTGAGCTGAGATCCGGCCACTGCACTCCAGCCTGGGCGACAGGGCGAGACTCCGTCTCAAAAAAAAACCCAAAAAAACAAAAAAAAACTGCAGAGGCCAGGCGTGTCGTGGTGGCTCATGCCTGTAATCCCAGCACTTTGGGAGGCTGAGACGGGCGGATCACGAGGTCAGGAGTTCCAGACCATCTCTGAAAAAAAAAAAAAAAAAAACTGCAGAAGGTGCCAGGTGCCATGGTTCATGCCTATAATCCCAGCACTTTGGGAGGCCGAGGCTGGAAGATTGCTTGAGGCCAGGCGTTGGAGACCAGCTTGGGTAATATAGCAAGACCCAATCTCTACAAAAACTCAAAATATGAGCCAGGCATGGTAGTGTACGATTGGGGTCTCAGCTACTTGGGAGGCTGAGGTGGGAGGACTGCTTGAGCCTTGCAGGGAGCCGTGATCATGCCACCACACCCCAGCCTGGGCGACAGAGTGAGACCTTGTCTCAAAGCAATAACAAAACACAAAAAGCTCTGCCAGGCGAGTTGGCTCATGGCTGTAATCCCAGCACTTTGAGAGGCTGAGGCGGGAGGATCACTTGAGGCCAGGAGTTTGAGAGCAGCCTGGGCAACACAGTGAGACCCCAATCTCTAAAAAATAAAATACAATTTAAAATTAAATTAAAAACTAGAGAAGGGAGCTGAAACCACCCCTGCGTGGTTTTCCCTCTGAGGGCCTAGGGTTCCCCTCTGACTTTCTCTCCTGGGTAATGTCTGTCTTTGTCCCCCTCCTTCTCCGAGTCCCCACTGCCTTTAAAAAAGTATTTCCGGCCGGGCGCGGTGGCTCAAGCCTGTAATCCCAGCACTTTGGGAGGCCGAGACGGGCGGATCACAAGGTCAGGAGATCGAGACCATCCTGGCTAACCCAGTGAAACCCCGTCTCTACTAAAAAATACAAAAAACTAGCCGGGCGAGGTGGGGGGCGCCTGTAGTCCCAGCTACTCGGGAGGCTGAGGCAGGAGAATGGCGTGAACCCGGGAGGCGGAGCTTGCAGTGAGCTGAGATCTGGCCACTGCACTCCAGCCTGGGCGACAGAGCAGACTCCGTCTCAAAAAAAAAAAAAAAAAAAAAAAAAAATTTCCGTTCATTTAAATTGTTAAGTCGTATATGAAACTGACTTCCGAGCTAGTACTGGAGAATGGATAGAACTGTTTGGTGCTTAACGAGAACAGCGTCTACATAGGATCCCTAGGGACTTGGGGAAAAGGGACAGACCCCTAATATGAAGCAAATAGAACTCAGGTTTGAAACAGATTATCCAACAATCTCCCTCGCCTGGCCCCCTCTGCCTCGGGGGTCTCTGATGGTCTCGTCTCCCTCTTTCTGCGATCTCTGAGCTTCTCCCTCTGTCCTTCAAAGTCGCCAGCTTGGGTTCCCTAACCTTCCCTGGATCTCTTGATTGGCGCCTCCCTCCCTACCATCCCCCCGCTCCCGCCCCCGCCCCCGCCGCTGACCTCCCCCTGCAAACCTCTCCCACCCACCCAGGCCCACCCCCCTCCCAGGCCCCCCTTACCCCGCCCCCAGTTGCTGGGCGCCTGCCAGGCCTGAAAGCCCGCCCCTCCTCCTCCCCCTCCTTCTCCCTCCACCTCCGCCCCCTCTGCCCCCTTCCCCCACCTCTCCCCTCCTTCCTCACTGCCCCTCCACCGGGTCCCCTCCACCCAGGGACCTCCTCCCCTGCCCTCCCCTCCCTTCCCCTTCCCTCCCCTCCCCTCCCCTCCCCTTCCCTCCCCTCCCCTCCCCTTCCCTCTCCTTCCCTACCCTCCCCTCTGCCGCCTCCCGCTTTGTCCCTCCGCTTCCTCCTCCATTCTCTCCTTCCCCCTCCTCTTCCCTCCTACACCCCCGTCTCAGATCCTGGTCCTGGGAAGGGGCGGTCCCCACGCTCCCCACCTCCCCATGCTCCCCATGTTCCCCACGCTGCCCCACTGCCCCTCTCCCCTGCTGGGCCAGGCCCGCGTGGCTAATGGTGGGTTCCCCAGCAGCAGCGCAGGAGGAGGGGGCGAGCAATCTTGCCCTAGGCCTGCCCAACCCTCGAACTCACCCCCCGCCCCGCCTCCACAAGGGCAGCCTCAGGGCTCCCAGCTGGAGCATGTGGCTGTGTGACCCTGGGCAGTTCCCTAGGCGTCTCTGGACCTGTCTGCCTCCAAAGCCTGACCTCCCAGCAACTGGATTGGTGGGGAAGGAATTAAAACCCCACCTGGAGCAGCCGCGGGCCTTTCATTCCTGTATTTATTGGGCGCCTACTGTGTGCCAGGCTTGGGTATCCCTCTCGACCCTCGCGGAGCCCACAGAGTCATGGGGAAGGTTTGGAAAATAGGCCAAGACCATTTCAGAGAACACCAAGTGGTAGAAAGAAAAATCTAGCAAGGGCTGGTGACGGAGATGGGGCTGCTTGGCCCAGGAGAGGAGGGGAGGCCTCTCTGAGGGGGTGACATTTGAGTTGAGAAGGGCTTGACAGCAAGAGCCCATCTTGGGGAGGAGGCTATCGAGGAGAGGGCAGGTGCTCCAGGCAGAGGGAGCCCCAGTAGCAAAGCCTGGAGGTGGCACTGTGCCCATCCCAGGGCAAGCGCTCAGCCCCTAACTCAGAGGGCCACGGTGTGTATATCAGCCAGGTAGCCCAGTGATAATAGCAATGGCAGGCCGGGCGCGGTGGCTCTCTCCTGTAATCCCAGCACTTTGGGAGGCTGAGGCAGGTGGATCATTTGAGGTCAAGAGTTCAACACTAGCCTGGCCAACATGGTGAAACCCCATCTCTACTAAAAATACGAAAATTAGGCCGGGCGCGGTGGCTCACACCTGTAATCCCAGCACTTTGGGAGGCCGAGGTGGGCGGATCACGAGGTCAGGAGATGGAGACCATCCTGGCTAACACGGTGAAACCCCGTCTCTACTAAAAATACAAAAAATCAGCCAGGTGTGGTGGCAGGCAACTGTAGTCCCAGCTACTTGGGAGGCTGAGGCAGGAGAATGGCGTGAACCCAGGAGGCGGAGCTTGCAGTGAGCTGAGATCATGCCACTGCCCTCCAGCCTGGGCAATAGAGTGACAGAGCAAGACTCTATCTCAAAAAACAAAACAAAACAAAAAAACGAAAATTAGCCAGGCATGGTGGCACGTACCTGTAATCCCAGCTACTCGGGAGGCTGAGGCAGGAGCATGGCTTGAACCTGGGGGGTGGAGGTTGCAGTAAGTGGAGATCTCGCCACTGTACTCCAGTCTAGGTGACAGAATGAGACCCTGTCTCAAAAAAAAAAAAAAAAAAAAGCAATGGCAGCAGAAGCTGTCATCAAGGGCCACTCTGGGATTGGTGACAGTACCATGCCCCTTTTCCAGGTGAGCAAACGGAGGTCCACAAGGCCTAAAAGGTCTCACTGCAAACCAGAAGCTGGATGAGGAAGATTCAGATTGAGGTTGGTAATACAGCAAGACCCCATCTCCACAAAATCTCAAAACATGAGCCAGGTGTGGTGGTGTACGATTGTGGTCTCAGCTACTTGGGAGGTTGAGGTGGGAAGATTTTGCTTGAGCCTTGCAGGGAGCCGTAATCATGCCACTGCACTCCAGCCTGGGCGACGGAGTGAGACCTTGTCTTAAAACAATAACAAAGCCGGGCGCGGTGGCTCACGCCTGTAATCCCAGCACTTTGGGAGGCCGAGGCGGGCGGATCACGAGGTCAGGAGATCAAGACCATCCCATCCCGGCTCACAGGGAAACCCCGTCTCTACTAAAAAACACAAAAAAACTAGCCGGGCGTGATAGCGGGCGCCCGTAGTCCCAGCTGCTCAGGAGGCTGAGGCAGGAGAATCGCTTGAACCTGGGAGGTGGAGATTGCAATGAGCAGAAATCCAGCCACTGCACTCCAGCCTGGTCAACAGAACGAGACCCTGTCTTATTAAAAAAAAAAATTAAAAAGAAGATTCAGATTGGGCCGTGCAGTCAGGGGTTTGTTAAACCCCCATCTGTGCTGTGCTTTCCAGGGAGACCAGGCTGGGCAAATTTGGGGCCCAGCAATGAGCTCTCCAGGGAAGGAGGGAGCGTAGAGATGGAGACAGAGTCCATGGGGGATCCTAGGAGGGTGAGCCCCCAACTTGGTACAGAGGGGTTACATGTGGCATGGGTGATGGGGTTGGTGCAATGACCAGAAAGCCCCAGGGGTTTAAAAATGGGGGTTGTCTGGGGTACCAGCCCCAGCTCTACTTCCACACCCCAAATTGTCCCAGCTGGGCCCCGCACATTCCCACACAATAATAACGGTCAGGGCCTTTTCATCTATCGAGCTATTTGATTGTGTGATGACTCAATGAAGAAGTTTCTATAATTATCCCACCGTACAAGAGCACAGTGACGCAGCGGCGGAGGTGGGGTTTGAACCCAGGCTTACAGATCAGTGGCACTGGGTCTCACAGCCTCTGGGGGTAGTGTGATCTCTTGAGATCTCAGCTGACCCCTACAGGTTGTGTTAGCGCTGGGCAGGTTAGCAGGGGACCTGGCGTCGCGTCCACCATGCTGTGTGACCTTGGTGAGCCTCTATCCCTCTATCGGCTTGTCCACTTACTCTCCCAATAAATATGGTGTAGCCAGTAGTATGTTGGGGCCTGGGCAGACCATCCACACGGAAGCGAACAGATAGTATGTGTTCAGAGAGCCACGAGGCCTCTGAAGAATGAGAGAAGCTAAGCAGGTAGGAGGAGGGGAGCTACTCTAGCCAGGCTGGCCTCTCTAGGATGTGATGTTTGATCTGAACGGAAGAGAAAGGCTGGCCGTGGTTCAGACAGAGGGAACAACCAGTGCAGTGCAGAGGTCTTGAGGCTAGACTCTGTGAGGAACAGGGAGGAGGCCTGTGTGGCTGGAGCAGAGGGGGAGGAGTGGGAGGAGGTGAGAAGAGGGAGGCGATGGAGGTCAGATCACATAGACAGAAGTAGGGAGTTTGGATGTTATTTTGAGGGCAATAGGGAGCTATGGAAGGTTCTTGAGCAAGGGAGGGATGGGATCTGAATCACTTTTTTTTTTTTTTTTTTTTGGGGGGTGAGGGAGGATAGAGTTTTGCTCTTCTTGCCCAGGCTGGAGTGACATGGCACGGTCTCAGCTCACTGCAACCTCCGCCTCCCAGGTTCAAGCAATTCTCCTGTCTCAGCCTCCCAAGTAGCTGGGATTACAGGCGCCCGCCACCACACCCGTCTAATTTTTGTATTTCTAGTAGAAACGGGGTTTCACCATGTTGACCACGCTGCTCTCGAACCCCTGACTGCAGGCAACCCCTCTGCCTCAGCCCCTCAAAGTGCTGGGATTACAGGTGTGAGCCACCACGCCCAGCCCTGCTTCACATTTCAGTGGATAATCAAGGATGTGGGCACAATGGAGAATGCATAGTGTAGATGTAGAGTGTGAGGGCAGGATGGGAAAGAAGGACCATTTAGGACATAGTGGGGGCTGGACACAGTGGTTCACACCTGTAATCCCAGCACTCTGTGAAGCTGAGGCAAGAGGATCGCTTGAGCCCAGGAGTTGAAGACCAGTCTGGGCAACATAGTGAGACCCTGTCTCTACAAAACATTTTTTAAAAATTAGCTGGGTGTGGTGGTACCCATCTGTGATCCCAGCTACTCCAGAGGCTGAGGCAGGAGGATGGCTTGAGCCGAGGGAGGTCAAGGCTGCAGTGAGCTATGATGGTGTCACTGTACTCCAGACTGGGTGACAGAGCGAGACCTTGTCTCAGTAATAAGGACAAAATAAAGAAATGTTGGGAATACAAATAACTACCCTTTATGGAGCATTTACTATGTATCATTATTATTATTATTATTATTATTATTATTATTGAGACGGAGTCTTGCTCTGTTGCCCAGGCTGGAGTGCAGTGGTGTGATCTCGGTTCACTGCAACCTCTGCCTTCTGGATTCCAAGGATTCTCCTGCCTCAGCCTCCTGAGTAGCTGGGATTACAGGCATGTGCCACCACACCTGGCTAATTCTTCTATTTTTAGTAGAGACAAGGTTTCCCCACATTGGCCAGGCTGGTCTCGAACTCCTGACCTCAGGTGATCCGCCCGTCTTGGCTTCCCAAAGTGCTGGGATTACAGGTGTGAGCCACTGTGCCCGGCCTGCTATGCATTATTGTAAGTACTTTATAGGCCTTATTTGAAGATTCTAGGCCGGGCGCGGTGGCTCAAGCCTGTAATCCCAGCACTTTGGGAGGCCGAGACGGGCGGATCACGAGGTCAGGAGATTGAGACCATCCTGGCTAACATGGTGAAACCCCGTCTCTACTAAAAATACAAAAAAAAAAAATAAGCCGGGCGAGGTGGCGGGCGCCTGTAGTCCCAGCTGCTCGGGAGGCTGAGGCAGGAGAATTGCGTGAACCCGGGAGGCGGAGCTTGCAGTGAGCAGAGAGCGGGCCACTGCACTCCAGCCTGGGTGACAGAGCGAGACTCCGTCTCAAAAAAAAAAAAAAAAAAAAAAAAAAAGAAGATTCTATTAACCTTGCGTTCCAGACAAGGAAACCCAAGCAGAGTGAACATGCCTGGCACTGAGCCGCTGTCACTCTGGGACTTCTCCCCCAGCCACCCAGTTCTTACTCAGGGAGAGGCTGGAGTTCCCGAGCCCCTCCGCCAATCCTACTGCCTCCTGCCATGGGCTCCCAGTCCCTGACTCCCACTGGTCAGAACCCACGGTGACTTCAGCACCCATGCGAAAGTAGGCACAGGGGCTCTCTAACCGTAGGGGGTGTCTACCTCTCCCCTACTTCACAGCTGGGGAATGTTCAGAGATCCACACAGCAAAGCTACGGGTCAGAGCCCAAGGCTCACTCTGTCACCGGTAAAGGGCTTAAGGCTGCCCCATCTTTCTTCTGTCCACTTAGGGTTAGGGTAATCTAAAGGCACTGCTCAAATGAGGCAACTCCTATGCATTCTGCAAAACCCTAGCTTAAATACTGAAGCCCAACACCTTTTTTTTGTTTTTTTTTTTTGAGACAGAGTCTCACTCTGTTGCCCAGGCTGGAGTGCAGTGGCATGATCTCGGCTCACTGCAAACTCCACGTCCCAGGTTCAAGCAATTATTCTGCTTCAGTCTCCTGAGTAGCTGGGACTACAGGAGCGAGCCACCATGCCCGGCTAATTTTTGTATTTTTGGTAGAGACAGGGTTTCACTATGTTAGCCAGGCTGGCCTCGAACTCCTGTCCTCAGGCGATCCGCCTGCCTCGGCCTCCTAAAGGGCTGGGATTACAGGCGTGAACCACCACGCCTGGCCCCAACATCTATTAAATACTACCACCCAGCATCTAGAAAGCTATCCCAACTTCCCCATGAGGGCGGTAAATCCTGGCTGAGCCTGCCCCCACTCCCAGCCCCAGCTCTGATCCTCCCTCACCCCAACCCTGACCACCAGGGGGGTTCTGAGAGAGTTGGGCTGTCTTCCCCTCCTCCCAAACTTGGGAGCCCCTCCTTGAGTTTCCACCAAGGTCAGCCCTGGCTGCTCACAGGCAGAACGGCACGGAGTATTGGTTTCATGAATGAGTTTTGTCCAGCAATCTCACTGTGCATGTGGGTAAACTGAGGCTCAAAGCGAGGCCCTGGAAGTTCTAGGGAGATGGCTCCCCATGTTCCTGGGTGGAAGGAAATGTGTGTGTGATTTTTCCGGGGGGGGGCACACCGCCAAGCGTGGCGGGGAGCTGAGGCTCAGAGGTCACCCGCGAGCCCGGGGCCAGCGGGAGGGGACAGGCCTGGCTGGTGGCCCAGCAGCTCGGCTGGAGGGGGCGGTAGGCAGAGGTTGGCGGTGTCGGAAGCCAAAGGCTTGGCCTCCCCGAGGGAGCCGCTTTCCCGGCCCGGGTCGGATCAATGGGCTGTAATTATACCGCGCCGGGCCGGGAGCCGGCAGGGAGGGAGCGGGAGCTGGCGGGAGGGAGGTAGCGGGCGGGGGAGCGCGGGCCGGAGAGGTACCCACGTTACTTTGATTGACAGCCCGGGCGGGCGCCGCGCGGGAGCTTCTGGGAATCGTAGTCTTTTTCTGAAAACCCGTGCTCTCCTCCAGCTTGCACGCTCGGGGAAACTGAGGCACAAGGACCAGCACCACACCCCCCCCCGACTACCTATAGGCCCATCCCCGCCCCCCATCTGGGAAATAAAACTGAGCCCGTTCCTGGAGCCTCCAGGCTCGGGTAAGAGCTTCAGGTCTTCAGCGTGACTTAACTATTCTTTGCCTCAGTTTACCTATCTGTGAAATAGGAAGAAAGATGCAACCTCTCCTCTGCCAGCTAGCCGGGATTTTGCAAGGTAGCATATTGCACGAGGGTCCCTTGTTTTTAAGGGGAGATAGGCCAGGCTCGGGGGTGACTCGCTCTCCCCTGTTTCCGAATAATAATGGAGCTTTATCCCCAGTCCTCCAATCCGGCTGGGCTCGGGCTTCCACCAGG